TAGTCTCAAAACAAGGATTAGGACAAGTGTCAGGCATAAATCGGGACACCACATAGTAGCTTGTTCTACAGACCATGGTAAAAATAATACACAGTTTAACCTGATGTACAAACATTCTATGGACTTAGACTACCATGGCTATGATTTAAACAAACCACAACCTAGAAGGCTGTATGAAGCACAAATGCTGAGTGGAGCCTCCATAGCAGGCGGGAGCAGAATCCCTGCCAAACAGAGCCGCCTCCCCTAGTTTCTGCAGGCTGTCCTGCTGATACCACAGTCAATAGTTTATCAGAGGATCTAGGACGACCAGGAGGAGGACTTCCTCCAATCAAGGCAACCAATGCCATTTCCACCCTGAGACCATGCCTGAATCCGATTGGGATGATCTGCTTCTTCCAAAACCTTCTGCAGTTGTGACCTTTGCTAACAACAGGAAGGTTGGAGAAAGACAGAAGTTCTCCAAGACGGCTGGATTGAGCGATGGGTTCTGGATGAAGGCAGACGGCATCTCCCCCTTCCCCAGAGAAGCACGAGCCATTTCCCAATTCCAGCAGCATGCACCTGGCCTCATGACCAAACCAAGAGGGGCAAGGATCTAGAAGGAGGGTTTCCTACTATTTTCAAGTATGCTTTAAAAAACATGGGGAGCCAAGACTGATTCATCCTTGGAAAGAAGACCACTAGGGAATGCCCACCGTGGGAGTTCCAAAGAACATCCCTGCAGGCAACAATGCCATCTCTCTCTTCTTCTTCCCACGGGGTTGAATCTCTGGGCACAGAGAGAAAGGGGAAAAGACAAACCAAGGATGCTCATAAACATTGTCTAGAATGTGAAAACCACAATTCCACCCCCCAAAAAAAGATAAATGCAGACATCTGATTGCATAAACCAATCTTCGCCAGAAACAAATCTGAAGCCAACTGAAGAGGCAAAATCATTTGCAGTTTAACCCCCACAAGCTTCTCTGGTGCAACGTGCCAAGAGAACTTCTCCAGGACCGGAGAAAGCTTTGCATTCTTAAAGGAGTCCTGGCGGAAGCACCAGAGACTTCGGTCACAAAGCCGGGTCTTGAGTGAGCCAAGACCCTCAGGCTGGACCCAGCAACGTGGGCAACATCTTTGTGGAAAGCAAAGCTCATTCTTCAAATACGGTTTTCATTTTTGAAAAGAGACGTTCTTTGCAGCCTCCTGCAAACCAGGCGAGGGCGACACCCAAGTGCCCCTTTTATATGCCAACCATTGTGTTCTTCAGCTGACCCAGGACAAACAATGCAGGGCTGTTTCTACTAGACTGAGAAGAGGACCGCAAGGTGCCAGGCGGGCTCGGGGGATTCACTCCGTGCCCTGTCTCCATCCATGCATCAGCTTTAGCCATTGTTCCTGGACATGTGATAAAGCTGGATTTCAAATCCCTTAGCGCCACCAATCTCTTGGGGGGACCCAGGTTATCAGGGTCATCCTTTCCTTTTATCACCCACTCCTGCATTTTAGCAGCCAATTTGAGGCAGGCAGCAAAACATTCAGACAACCACCACCTGGTAGCAAAGGGTTTATATCTTCTCTATAGTTTGGCATTGGCTGCTTGTCCACATTTTTGCAGCCTAGACCTGATAACCAAAACACAATGTCTGATTCGGTTAATTTTAGAATCCCTTCTAGTTCATTTCATGCAGAAAATTACTTAACTTAATTGTACCCGCTTCTCTAAAATGCACAGACACCTAATAAAGTAAAAGTGCCTGGACAGCAACATTTAACTCTGCAGTGCATCAAAACCTGAAAGTTGCATCTAAGACACAATTAGGAAAAGTTTGGAGCAGCCTGCGCAAAGTAAGGGCCACCAGCTGAAATGACGTCTGCTTAACGGAGGCTCTACCACCTGCCATAACTGTCGGACAGCTCAACCCGCTCAGCACGGCAGGGCAGACGGTGCGCCAAAGCTTAAAATGTCAAAACAGGCGGGCAACTCCTTCCAAGCTCTGAAGTGACAGCATGCCTCCCTTCAGTCTGCTTCTTGGCCCTCTCCTCCCCATTACTAGCCAAGAGAGAAGGACGTGACAATCCCACCCACTTTGTATAGGGGGCAGAAGGGAACTCTTGGCCACACAACTGCAGAGCCATTAACGGGCTTGGCCGTAAGGTACCCACAACTGGATCAAGAGCATCATTTTGCAACAGCTGCTAGTTCCGAGATGCATATCTCCTCCTCCACTCCTACAGCTGTTTGAGGACATTCTTTTCTCCACTTTGTTTGTAGTTCAGGAGATCAAGGTTTTTTTGTTTTTGTTTTTTTGGGGTGGGGTGGGCTCCAGAAAAAAAGTGCAACTTCCTTCATTTATACTGGAACTCCAAATCCTACTGGTTTCCTCACCCCCACCCTGCTGCTCCGTTCCCAGCAGACATCATTTCAGTGTCCTAAAGCTGGCCTGACAGTGACCGCTCTGGGCTGTTTCACTTTGTTTTTCTAAGGGAAAAGCCAACCAAGAGCGGAAGTGAATTTGCAGAGGAGTTGATGGGACACGCTGATCTTCTCAGGACCCGTTTTAATCAGGGTTCCTGGTGTGGGAATTCCTGGGCTACAGCAATGTATACAAAATGCATTTACAGACCCATGCTGTGTTCACAGGTATTTGCATAAAATATGGAGGAACTACAGCGGAGTCTCTCCAATAATTTGTCATTTGCAAGGTTAAAGAAAAGAAAAATCTTCAGGAAACTATCCACCAGGTTCATCCCAATGCAAATGAAACTGACCACATCATTTCAGCAATCAAGATCAAACAGTGCAAAATTAGCGTTCCAAACATTTGTAGACTAATGCTATTAAATGAATAAATATTGTCTCATCAATATGTAGTCCTTGGTTTACAACAGGTTGTTTAAAAACAGTTCAAAGTTACAACAGCCTTGGTATAAGTATTTACAACCTGTTGTCAAAATTACGACTGTCATGCTACCTTCATGATCATGTGTTCAAATTTGGGAGCCTGGGCACCAGTTCACTTTTGCCACCAGCTGCAGCATCTTGAGGCCCCATGATTGGGATTTGTAACCTTTCCAGTTTGCTTCCACCCAGCAACAACCACTGGGGAAGCTGGATTTACTTAACAACTGCAAGATTCACTTAATAACCATGTGATTTGCTTAAGAACCACTGAAAAAATGGCCATAAAATCCAGCTTGGTTATATGATGACTCATTTAACAACCACATTACTTAGGGACCAAAACCCCAGTTCCAATTGTGGTCATAAGTTGAGCAACTGACTTTAGACCCCCTTCCCAAGCTGAGAGGCTGCGCTGACTCTCAGGATTGCCTGGATGGGGGAGCCTGCCCAGGGCTCCCGGCTGGAGGTGGGAATCGGGAAAAGCTCCCCGGAAGGCCAGAGGGAGAGGGCTTCCCTACTGCTTCCAAGGACAGGACCCAGAGAGTCCCCAGCTGGAGTCTTCTCTTGATGCTGGTCTGGCTCTTTGGAGGAGAAGCTCAGCTGCCTGGATCCCCCACGGAACTTGCCACAGCAGCCACAGGCGGGGCCAGTCGAGCAGCAGAACCAGCCACTCGGGGCCTGGCTGTGCTTCTGTCGTAACGTGGCGTGCACTGACTTCCCCTGAGAAAGAGCTTCTCCTTCTCGTGCCCTCTGCCACTCCGAAGCCCCACACGGAACGGCCTTCCACCTGGGCTCAAAGCCTCCCACGCCCCACCTGCCCCTCCTTGGCAACAGCCCACCCGGAACTCCGTCGCCCCTTTGGCATCCCCCCACTCAACCTCCAGCTCTCGTTCTCTGCACAAGGGGAGAAATCGAGGCAAGCGGGGGAAGGGTTTGAATTCACCCCGGAAGGCAAAACAAACTGCCTTGGCATCGGCTGAGGGCCCATTCAAACGGATTTAGAGAAACGGATTTTGTTTGCTGCCAGAAAAAAAAACTGGTATTTAGACCTTTCACTAATGCCGGTTCCTCCAATGCCGGATGGCCCAACAAGGAAAGGCCAGTCCAGCAACAGGCAGGTTCAGTGCTTGGAAAGGGGTTGCAGCCCAAATCCGGTATTGATCCGGAGGAGAGACAAGGTGACTTGCAAGGAACAGTGTAAACAACCTGGGACAACCCCGAGGCTGGATCAGGCCAAGGAGGGCCCCAGCCCAGCCTTTGGGGTCCCTCTGCCAGATGCGCCTGGCAGCATCCAAGAGGGAGAAGACAGGTGTGATGACCCAAAAGGGCGTGGCACAAAGACAACACAGTCACATAAGTAAGAAAAGTCCCCTTAATACCTCCAACTTTGCCCCCAATGTCCAATTACCTTCGGCTGGAGAAAAAACTCCCAAAAACAGTCTTTGAGTGGAGGAAATTCAGTCCAAAAACAAAGTACATAAAAACTGTAAATAAAAATCCACACAAATCATGCTGCAGTAATTAACTTGACAGGGCAGGAGAAGGAATTGCAGACTTCAACGGCCAACAAAACACACACAGTTGGGAAGATGCCAGGAACCCAGATAAGCCTCCACAAAGCAAGATAATACACAATTTGTTTCCCACCAGTGGCTGTGCGCAACTTCCCTTTTAAAACACTGTCTTCCCAGCTGCAGCTAATGAATGGAATCAGGGCCCTTTCCTCCCCCGTAAGCCATGCAACTCACACTGCTCCCTTCTCCATTCCTCCCTGCATACCCTAGGATGAAGAGGAGGTGGGCCTGGGTCTTCCTCTGAATTCCCTCTCCCTTGTTCTACCTCTTCCCTGTTCCGCCCAGCCAAACTTTGCCCTTCCCCATTTTCCTCCACAGCCAAAGGAGCCACACTCACACTCCCACTCCCTGTCAGCTGCTCGGCCTCCTCCTCGGAATCAGATTCCAACAGGAGCATGACAATAGGCCTCTGCTGAGGGGCTCCCAGGGCTGGCACTTCAGGGCCCCGGGGCCTCGCCTCCACTCCCGCTAAATTCTGCAGACGGTGACAGAGGAAGCTTTTCCCTCCGTCTCCAGGAACAGCCAGCCAGCCTTACCTTCTTCCCGCTCTCTGAGCCTAAGCTGTGCTTGTGCCTTTTCAGGCTCCTGCCGCTCAGCTCGGCCGGAGCCTTCCAGGAGTCCCCATTGCTGGAATGGGGTCCTTTGCCTGCTGGCGCTTCAGGGTTTGACACCATGACCGGCCACCCCGCCTCCTTGGAGCAGGTCAGGCGGAGACTCCGGAAATGCTCGTCGGTCTCTTTGTCCACCACCAGCAACTGGGTCTTGGCTTCAATTGCTTTGATGCGTTGCACAACCTGGGGAAGGACAGATGGGTGGGGGAGAAGAAGAAAATATCAGCAAAGACCCTCAAAAAGGACGGAAGTTTGCTAAATGGGGGCGGGGAAATCTGAGCAGCATCTATTGGAGAGCAGAAACACAATCGCTTCAAGCTGACATTAAAAAGGCAGGGCGGCAACTGTGTTGGTTTGTTCATTTGGCCGGGAAAGGGAGCGTCTCAGGGGAGGCCAGCCTGGCGCCAGGGGCTGAAGAGGAAGGGAGACGCTTGAGGCTGGTTAAATCCATTGCAGTTCACGTGTTGCTCTAAACCTGCAGTTCTGAGTTATCCCTTGACCAGGGCCAGGAAGGGGTGCAGGGCACAGAGAGAGGAGCCCATCCAATGGCTGAGTCTTTTCCTAGGGTTCAGGCCTTAATACACCGCCCCGCGGAAGGACTTTGTTTTCCTTGAAGGCGTTTTGCTTCTCCCGATCAGTTCCCAGAAAAAGCCTCTAGCCCTACAGGCAGGGGGCAACCCCGTCCCCCCTGGCCCCCGTCCCCACCCGCTGCAGGGGAAACCTTCAGGGAGGGACAGCTCCCCCTGTGCACAGCCTGGCTTGGCATCCTGAAGCGGCTTCACACGGCCTCTGGGAGGGTGCAGACCGATTGTCTGGCGCCCTGTGAACCAGCCCAAACATTTCCCTTTCTGCCTTGAAGACCAAGCCCCGGACCCGGCCTCACAGCGAGGAATTCGGACCCTCAAATGGGCTGCCCTGCCTGAACAAGCCAGGGGCCGGTGGGAAGCAGCTCCCTCCATGCGACCTGCCAGGGCTGCCACCTGTAGCTCAGCATCTGGAAAACACCGGCTGCCTTTCGCACACTTGGGACTGATTCAAACACACTCCCACAACAAGCTGCGAAGGGGGCCTGGAGAGTCTGCTCCCCCACCCCCCGCAATATTGCAAGCAAGCGCTCCCTGACAGGAGACGAGGGGCCCAGTCCTTCCCCCTTTGGAAGAGGTGAGCCTGTTTTTTAAGCAGGGGGGTCAGGTAAGCCAATCAGCATTTCAAGCAGCGAGTTGCGCAAAAAACGTTTTGGTAAATGTGGACAGCATCCAGTCCCAGGCGGAATCTGCCCCTGAATCCGGAGTGTGTTTCAGGACTCATCGTGGCCAGAACCAACGGAGCTTTTTCATAGCTGTTGCCCCTACAGACAGCGATGACTTACAGCAGCTTTGGACCATCATGGAGGGAATCATTTGGTTCGATTAAAGAGGCTGAGCAACCGCCAGGAAAGTCTTTGCACAGCTTCATCTGGGGAACCAGTTGCTCCCTTTTCTAGACCAGGCGGCCAGGTCTTCCTTCGGTCACTCAGGCTGTGGTTCTCCTACCACTTGACTACTGCGATAGGCTCGACCAGGTGCTGCCCTTGAAGACCACTCAGAAGCTTCCACTGGCCCAGAAGGCAGGGATGGGCATGCTCGGAGAGGCCCATGGGATGCTGCTGATTTGCCAGCGGCCCAGCCGACTCAGGAACCCTGCTGGGTTAGGGCGCTCCAGGTCCCTCCCATCAGGCAATGCTGCCTATTGAGACCCCTCGCCTGGAGCAGTGCCCGCCCTCTGGGACAGGCAGACCTGAACCCCCCCCCCCCCCGCCCTCCCTGCAGCTGTTTGGAAGCGGCCCGAGGCCTGAAGACACGGCTGCTCTTCCCCTGGCTGTTTGGAGAGGTTTTTAAATTTTTGTTTCCACCCAGTTTGCTATCCTGTCATCTCTGTCCTCCTTTTTGTTTCCTGTCATTTTTCTTGCCTTCCAAAGGAGAAAAACATTTCAATGAAATTCCATGAGTGCAGCCTGGTTTTTCTCCCCCACCCCCCCCACTCCACCCCTTTAATGCCCTGCCCTTCACCACACAATGCCCCCTCTAGGCCTCTGCAGCTTGCCCCCTTCCTTCAATCCCACACCTGGCACATCTGTAGTGGCAACCCTAAATCTCTCCTCCTGCTGACGTTTGGGAAAAAAGATCCCACTCCACTTTGATGGAGAAATTCTAAAGTTGAACAAGCAGCTGGGAAGAACCTGGAAAAGCTTCTTGCCGGCCATCCTCACTGCTTCCCTGCAGAACACCCAGCAATGCAGCCTCTGCTCAGAGATGCCCACTTAGGAAACACCCCAATTCTCCCTAAGAGCCTCCGTATTATTACCACCAGGCGCTGCACTGAATCATATCCACAGGGAATTGTGGATTAGAATCTGCACATTTTGAAATCAGGACCTGAAGAAATGATTCAGGGGCAGAGCCTCCAACCACAGTTGGTCACACTTCACTTCTTAATAAGCATGCCTGGAATTGTCCTGAAGACAAGGAAAGAGCCTTGTGGTTTGGAGTCCAAAATGTCAACTGTAAATACAGACACAAACGCACATGCCCAGACAGAAACACGCAAAACATTTAAACTGAAAGCTGACTGGTTAGTGCTATGCGGAAATATTCACTGAGAAGGTTCAAAAGGAGGAGATCGTGGCTCTACGATTCCATGATTCAAGGAGCAACCCTAGCCCAAGAAGTCATTTCTTCTGTTCTTCCCAATAGGGAGCCAGAACAGAGATTGGTGGGAATTCTGGAACTTGTAGTCCTAATGCAGGGGTCTCCAACCTTGGCAACTTTAAGACTTGTGGACTTCAACGCCCAGAATTCTGGGAGTTGAAGTCCACAGGTCTTAAAGTGGTCAAGGTTGGAGACCCCTGTCCTAATGCATCTGCAGGCCAAGTTGGGTACAAGAACATCTAGCCCCACCCCGCCCCACCCCCCAAAAAACCAGTCTGTAACTCAACTGGCATGTTGTGCCACACCAAGCTTTACTTAGCCACAACTGCCTGGGTTCACCTGGCACATTAAGCAGGAAATCAGGGTGTGCAAATTATAGTTGCCAGACTTCACAATGAAATTATACAAAATAGAGACACCTCTTACCTTTCTAATAGAGAGATATCACTGCAACAACTCAAAAATTTATGCATTCAGGAGAAACCAGACAAACTATATGGTGACTTGTCTTAGAGAGTTGTGGGAACCTGACTGGGATTCAGAAAAACACTGCCACATTCAACTAATGGCCACAAATAAATTGGGGGATTTTGCAGTTTAATTCCACATCACTTATGAAACCCCACGAATAAGCTCCGAACCTCTCAGTTACACTATGTTTCTCAGCCTTTACAATTATGAGCTGTGTGGACTGCAACTCCCAGAATTCCCAAGCCAGCCTGCTTGTTGAAGTTGAAGTCCATAAACCCTAAAGTTGCTGAGGTTGAAAAGCACTGGGCAACACCATGAAGGGGAGTTGGGAAGGCCACTTTGGAGAAAAGTCAACAAGGGTCCCATTCAAGGTTGGCCAAGGATGTTCTCAAATTTGCAAAAGCAGCATTAGCAGCCAATAGCAATGATGCAACAAGGATGCTGCCTACACAGCAGTATTATCATGCAAATAGGGAGGATTCAGTCCTTGAATCTCCCCTACATCGGATGCAAGAATGTAACTCACAAGGGTTCTGCCCCAAACAGCTCGCTGCTCTCCGTCCCCAGGGGCTACTCGCAGCCCCTCTCCCCGAGGCCCCCCTTTCTGAGGGACAACCAGGAAGCCTCGATTCCTCCCCTGTGTGGCCGGTGGGCATGACGGACTGCTAGTCCAGCAATGCTCCCTCAGGCACATTCAATGGGAGAGAGAAACCGATGGGAACGGGAAGCCATCCGCCCCACTTGACCTGTCCTTGCCTGGGAAAATTTCCAGGGCGGATTTCAACCTGCTCCAGTCTCCCCCGTTCGAACGGCTGATCTCCAACCTCAGCCTCTGAGCAAACAAGTTTCAGTTAAGCAGAGGTTGCAGAAAGGAGTTTGCAGGGAGGCCAGAGGTGCTGCCAAGAGGCGGGAAGGAAGCCTGGAGCCAAGGAAAGCAGAGCGAGGTACGGGAGACAGTGACAAGCGAGCCGCAGGCTGGCTCCATGCAGAGAGATCACTGGGGTGTCCTGCGGAGGGACCGCCTGGTCTCGGACTCCTCTCTGAGACACAGCTGGTCTCTCCTTGCTGGAAAGGGCCGTGGACAGTCTCAGGCAAAGGCAGGGCAAGCTGGCTCTCGGCAGAACATCAGCCGAAGACACAAACCCTCCTGCCCACTCCACACGGGTCAGGCCGGCAGCTTTCCTCCTGCCCATTTCTCCCTCGTTTGGCCGGCTTCCATCCCAGGCTCCTGGTCATGAGAACTTCATTAACGTCACCCCTTTCATTAGGGAAGCACCTTCTGGGTTGTCTCCTTGGCTCCCTGCAGCGGGTAGCTTGGCTCCTTCCCTGTGGTTCTGCCCCAGAGGAGGAGGGAAAGGGGCCAGGCCCACCAGCCAGAGGCTCCCTCTCAGCCCAGCCTGCCTCGCAAGGCTGGCGCTGGCAGGGGGAAAAGTTCGGGTTATGCTAGAAACTTCACCCTGGACAGCAGGCGGAAAGGCTAAAGGACCTGACCGAATCACGGTAATGGCTGCTCCCCAGTGAGGGTTTGTAGCACAGCCCCTTCCTCATTCGGGACCCTGGTGGACGGCTGCCTGCGGGTGGCCACCCAGTCTTATCATTTCTCTCCTGACTAAAACGTCTCAATTACCACCCAAGAGCTGCTGTGGGATGCCTTACTTTGGGGGTGTGATTATATCATTATGGGACAGCTGATTTCTTCTCTCCTTCAGAGGCCAAGCGGCAGGAACCTCGGTCCCAGAGCCCGTCTTTGGCTTCTGCCTTGGAAAGCAGCATTGAGCTGAGCCTGGAGCCCCCTCCCCCAGCAGAGGCAGAAGGGGAGACTCTGCTGCCCCCCTCAACACCATCCCAAGGGAAGGCGCACACACTTGGCCGATCTCCCGGGCCCATCAAGCGACGGAGCCCAGCGCAAGCTGGCAAGAGGGCAGGGGTGGCAAGGACGCCTCCATGGGGGTCTCTCCTCACTTTAACCTTGTAGCAACCTGTCAGTGTCAGCCAGTGGAGATTACAGAGAGTAAACAGAGGCCAAACCCTCCTGAGAGCTCCAGGCTGGGGATGGTCTCCCCATTCCGGGATCAGCGCTTTTACCTGGGACCTTCCGCCTTATTCTGGCCCAAGCCCCAGAACTCCCCAGCCAGCGTGGCCACCCCGGCCATCCTCTCCAGTTCCTCAGGCCTTTGGACGGCTCCCTTAAGCGCCTCCTGCGAGCCCCAGGCTTCTTTTGTTTACGCAGCAGGGAAAGAGGACTCCATTTACACAGCAAACTTCCTCCGCTCTCCTCCGAAGCAGCTTGGAGGGGGAAGCCGGTCCCTCCTCACCCACTCATTTCTCCAGGCTTGAAAAATTGAAAGCTAGCACTGGAAAAGCTGCTTCTCCTCACCCCACACCCCCCAAAAAAGCTGCTGCGGGGTCTCTAGCAACCCAAATCCCCTCGGCCCCCGGCCCTGTCCGGCAGGCTGTCCCGTGGCTTCTCCCTTCCCTGCAGCGCATGGGTCCTTCCAGTGTAAGCCCCCCTTAAAGCATAGCTGCAGAGGCACCCGCCAAGTTGCCTGATCTCCATCCCTGCAACAGCCCCTGGCAGCCCGGCCCCTCTGGGGCTCTTGGGACCAATCCCAGAATTCCCAGCCAGCCTGGCTCCCCGTGAGACTCCTGGGAAGGTGCCAGCTGGGCGGGGGCCACTCCAAAACCACCTGCCACCTGAGGCTTCACCTGGCCAGCACCTGGGGGCCCCTCCCAGCACCAGACCCTCGGCCTCGATTTCAAGGGGGAAGCAGGCCAGGTGTGCAAACGGGAGGGGGCCTTTGGGGGGGCTCTCCGCGGCCCCTGAGCCCCCCACGGGGCAGGTCCCTCGCCTTGCCTGCCCCGATAACCCAGGGAGGAGCCCGGAGCGGCCCTTATCGGGCGGGCCAGCCGGCCGGGGCCTCCTGGCACCTTCTCCGCTCCAAGTCCGCCGGAGCTCCTCCCGTCGGGGGCCAAAGTGCCCCGAAGAGCGGCTGAGAGCGGGTCTGGGGGCCTTTGGTTCTCGGGGCAACCCCCCTCCGCCCGCCCCGGCTCTTCCAGGTAGCCTGCGCCGCCCGGGAGGCTCGTCGTCTGCCCGGCGGACCCACCTGGTGGTGCGTCTCCTTCTCCACGTTGACGCCGTTGACTTCGAGCAGGCGGTCCCCGGCGCGCAGCCCCGCCGCCTCGGCCGGCGAGCCGGGCTCGACCTTGCGGATGAACTGGCCGCTCTTGCCCTTCTCGCCGTGCAGGTGGAAGCCGTAGCCCTGCTCGCCGCGCAGCATCTGGCAGAGGCGCGGCTGGCGGCGGCGGGGCGCGCCCTGCTCCTCCTGGGCCATGGCCGGCCGCCGCTCCTGGCTCCTCCGCTCCGCTTCCGACGGGTCGGCCGGGCGAGCAGCAGCCAGCCAGCCAGCGGGGCGGCGCTCGGCGCGGGGGCGTCTCCGGGCCGCCCCCGCCCCGCGCTCCGCAACGGCGCCCCCAGCGCCCGCAGGCGGCCAGCGGCGAGGGCGGCCCGCAGCTGCCCGGCTCCGGCGGGGCTCCGCGACCATCTCCCCGCCCCCTGCGCCAGCCCCTCCCGCCCCGGGCGGGGCAGGCCGGCCGCGGAAGGGCGCCGCGGGGCGCGTGCAGAGCGCGGAGCCGGGAGCCTCCCGCGAGGGCCGGGCGGGGCCGGGCGCGCAGTTGGGAGCGGGGCCCGAGCGCCAGCCGGCTCTTTCGGGGGAGGCTGAGTTGCGAGGGGCCGGGCCGGGGCTGAGGGGGCCTCGCGGGACGCACCCAGCCACTGGCGGGGAAGGGGCCTGGCTTCCTCCCTGGGACCCCTTGGCCTCAACGTCCGTGCTCGGGCGAGAAGCGCCGCCGTTGAGCGGCAGCTGCGTCGAGGCCAGCAAAAGACCCGGAGAGCCGCCGCCCCCCCAGCAGAGCCGCCCGAAGGGGGCTTAGGCTCCGGGCGGGGGGGGGGCGGCCTGTGCCGGGCTCTTGGAGCGCCTGGGGCGCCTGGGGGCTTTCAGGCCTCAGCCTGGATGGGGCCGGGGGCTCCGAGGAACCACTGCGCAGCTGAAAGAGGAGGGAGCCGAGGTGGCAGGGCTGCTGCTCTGCCAGGCTGTCATTTTCATGCCCTGAAAGCAAACCGATGTTTAAAATAACGCTCCAAATCTGCATTGCGCTTCATTTCTTTTGCCCCTACAGATGTAGCTTTAGGGGGAAACGCCACAGCCTTCACTCTCCATTCCTCTTCACGGGCTTTTCGACCTACTGTCGTTGGTTGGGAATGGTGGAGGGTGAAACCGCTGGAGAGAGGAGGATGGGGCGGCGAAAGGCCCAACCGGACTGTCCACTTGCAGGTGGCTGGGCTACCGAAGCACTTAATGCCTTCCAAAACATCAGCCTCCAATCCTCAGGTTTTCAATTACGTTTTCTTCTTGGCCAAAAGAAATTTGAAAAGCAAATTCTCTTTCATCAGGCTGATTAAACATTGGCAGAAAAATAGGAGAATTTTTCTGCATGATACTAACAGAATGCAGATTTATGAGTACTCTTCTATGTGGCCGAATAATTCCCTGCCAGGCTGGATAGCTGGCTCCATATTTATTTCCTTATTGTTTAATTACACTTGCCCCCCACCCCCCTATTTTCTGAGAAGTCAGAGGAGAGCACCCCCTCTTTCTTGGGAGCATCCCCCAATTTTATCTCGCCCAAATCAGGTTCTCAAATGATTTCAAAGTGGGTTTCTGGGTCTCTGCTCTCCCAGGCAGGCACATCAATCAGTCATCAGTTTATACGTTGCATCGTGTTAAGATTGGGTGAATCAGCAATTACGAGAGTGTCTCTGTGCATATACAGAGAGCCTGCCTTTGACTTTCAGGGTGTCTGCCTTTAGAATCCTCTGGGATCTGCCCTGCATTTTTCTACATCCATGCTACCTGAATGGGAGCATCCCTTCTTTTTCCATGAAGGAAAAGTTCGGCTGGGCCGCAAATCCAGGGGCTTCCCTGCCCAGGTCAGGCAGCCGGTGGCAAGGTGGAAATTTCCAACCCGGCTTCTTAGAGGGAAGCTGGGTTAATCTTTTCCCGCAACTGCTGGGAAATTCTGCGGCAACCAGTTTCGGCCAGACTCCAATACCTGGTCTGTGTTCTTGCTGGCAGCAAAACATAAATGGATATTTACCTTGCCCCTCCTCCTCCTCCTCCTCCTCCTCCTCTTCCTGGTGACATCATTATCCAAAAATACATGGCTGAAATTGTATAAGTCGCACAGACAAGGGGCAGTGTTCATTCACCTTGGACATGGCCAGTCCCTCCTGAGCAAAGAGGCAGACCCAGACAGGCATTTGGCCTCCTCAGATCTTGATCGTGCCTTGGGCTCCCCATGCACCAAGATGGCAGTGCCAAGGAGATGCTTCTGGGTGGCTGGCAAAAGGTGAGGGCAGCTGCAGCTCCTCTCCGGCTGCATCAGCTGGAAGACGACAGGAGCTGCATCATTAAAACTAGTCTGACTGGCCCTCCCTTGCTCCTTCCAAATTCTACTCAGGGTGGAGGGAGAGAGGCAGGCAGGCAGGCAGGCAGGGACAGGATGTTGGTGAAACTGAAATTGGTAGGAAAGGAGATCACTGGACACTCAGGGCATGGACTCCAGGACCTGGGATCTGGGATCAGCTCAGCTGGGATACCCACTCTGTGAATTGCGGGCTGTTTTCTTTTTTCTTTTTAACTGCACTTACATCTCACCTTTCCTCTTAAGATTTAAGGCACAATATGTGGGGATCTATGATAATCCCAAAGCAGCCCTGTAAGAGGGTGGGAATTAAGGGAGCATAGCTGACCCACAGTTAGCCAGAGAGCCATAAACCATATGGGGATTTAAACTCCACACCTCAGAATTTTAACCACTCTACTAGCAGGATGAGTTTGAGGCTGGAATGAGGACAGTTGAGAGAGACATTATTCACAAGAGGCTTGTAAACGACCTAAACAATATTGGATGGAAATTAGTAATTAGTAATACAAAAATATTGAATATCAATGTACAATTTGGCCCAGAAACTTCTCTGATAGTTTTTGGAAAACTCACGCGGTACTTTATTGTTAATAAAGATGCCCGAACTAGCATTATGGCCCAGTGAATGGTCTTTGTGACAGAAAAATCACTGAAAAAGTTACAGAAGCAGCACTAACACGTCACGTGATCTTAATGCCATCCCTCTGTTGATGCAACCTAGGACTGCGCTGGACTTTCTGGCAGCTGCAGCACATCCTGAAGGGGTTGCCCACTAGGCCTCCCTCTCCCAACTCAGCCAGGTAGCACCACACCCGTGCGTTTGCTCTTCTCACCACGGAATTGCGTTTCATTGAAGAGGGTCCAGGCCCATCAAGATCCTTCTGAATCTTGAGCCACCTAAAGTCCTATATAATTGGAAGTCCTTTGTAGAGAAGGAGATGAGGAAAAATAAAATGTTGACATGGATTAGATGATTATTAAATTTTAAGAAGGGTTTTTTTAATTTCTTCTTGGACATTAATGGACATTATAGACTTTAACTAAGTAAGTAATCAAATAAGTAATCAACTAATAATTAAATCACTTGAAGTACAGAAAGTCCACGACTTAGAACAGTTCATTTAGTGACTAAAGTTACAACGGCACTGAAAAATGTTCACTACTTATGACCGTTTTTCACACTTACGACCCTTGCAGCATTCCCCATGGTCATGTGATCAGAATTTGGGCCCTTGGGAACTGACTCATTTATGACGGTCGCAGCATCCTCATATGATCCCCGTTTGACCGGCAAGCAAAGTCAACGGAGAAGTCAGATTCACTTAACAACTGTGGTACTAACTTAGCAACTGCAGTGATTCAGTTAATAACAGTGGCAAGAAGGGTCATAAAATGGGACAAAACTCATTTGACAAATGTCTCACTTGGCAACAGAAATTTTGGGTTCCTTTGTGGTTGTCAGTCAAGGGCGACTGTATTAGTACTGCCATATACTGATTTGCTAAGAATTCTTAGCACTTGGAATTCTGCTTCCAATTCTGGTCACCGCAATGCAATGCAGGCCCCCTACAGACCTCTTAGGAAAGGGGTGAGGTCAATAGTAGACAGTCTTAAGGTTAAAGTTTTGGGGGTTTGGGGAAGAAACCACAGAGTCAGGTAGAGTCAGGTAGAACTCTGTTGCTGAAGTCGTATTTTCTGCAGTCGAGTTTGGTGCGGTTTACCTTGAGTTTGTATCTATTGTTTGCTCTTGTATTGTTATAGTTGAAGCTGAAGTATTCATTGACAGGTAGGACATTGCAATGTATGATTTTATATACTATATTTAGATCGGACCGAAGGCGGCGTAGTTCTAGGTTTTCTGGGTCTAGAATTTCAAGTTTGGTGGCATAAGGTCTTCTGCAACGAGTAGAGGAGTGGAGGACTCTTCTTGTGAAATATTTCTGGCCTTTCTCTACTGTGTTAATCAACTTTTAATTAATTAACTTGTCTGCAATGGTATAAGGTCTCATGCTTGAGCAGGGGGTTGGGCTAGAAGACCTCCAAGGTTCCCTTCCAGCTCTGTTTTCTGTCATTCTTTACATCCTTGGAAGAAGAAGCTGGAAATTATTCTTTATATATATTTGTTTTCCTTATACTTTCTATTCTGTTATGCTTTTTTATAATTTTTCACACTTCTGTCCCTATTCTCTTTTTACTCTTTATCATTCCTCTTAATTGTCAGCTTGTGTTTTTATGTCTATATAAAATATAATAAAATTATACAATAATTTTTGAAAAAAAATATAAAAAAATATTTTATAAAATTATGATGTACATGTAGTGTGAAAGACTCATGTGCTGTTTCCTACCTCTTAGAAGAAAGGTAAAATTTTAAAAATTGAAGCATTTTTTTGAGTAGAGCTTTTTAAAAGTGCCTGTGCAATGGATGAAAAAGTGTGCAAACCTGGATTGTTTTCCTGTGGATTCTGTGCTTCCTTGTGGCAAAATGACTCCATGCTGCCATCTCTCGAGCAGCCACCGCCAGTTTATGTCTAAACCCCTCAGATCCAGTTCCGTGTTGGGGGGAGAGAGAGGGGCCGCTTTACCTGGAAACTAACCAAGGCCTGCAGTTGGGAGGGGAGCCAATATGTTGCCTTTGTAGGAAGAATTATCCATCTGGTCCAGTTCCATCTGGTCCAGTTCCAAGCTGGCAGAAGACACCAGAAACATGGAGGCTGATTGGAAAGATGGGCAGCTGACAAAATGCAATTGGGAGCGGGTAGGTTTTTATACCTTCTCTTGGGCTTTGAACTTGAGCTTCCTGCTCCTGTGCAAGAAGATGTATTCTATTGGCTGTTGTCAGATTCCTATGGGGTCATGTAAGGGTTATGTAGGGGTCATAGCTGGCTCCATAGGCAAAAGAGGAAATGTAAAT